ATAATCAATCGCAAGTGAAATCAAAACTGCTTGTCTCACATTTAAAGAACTTTTAATTTTCTAGATCCGTTAAAAACACTTTACTGGTAAATGCGTTAGAACACATCTGCTGTTGTTAGGGAAAGCAAGTTTTAAATTGTAATACAAATGAAAGATATCATGAAGCATATATATAGTTACTAAGGATGAAGTACAATGCAAAAGTAAATCGTGTTTTACTTTTTTGATTTTTAGTTTTTTACATGCATGGCTATACATCTATAGTTATGGTTTCTTATGATTTTCAGTAATATATACAATAAATATCATACGTCTCCTTACACTACAGTATGGAATCGATATGAAGTCTGCAAAAGAGAAGCAACAATCGACTTCCAAATCCAGTTTTCGCGCTGACGTCGGACATTTGGAAGAGCAAATGCGCTTCTCAGTTGTCGAAGGTGAGGACGTAACCGACCTTGTGTGGGTTTTTGGTGGCGTCGTACTGACGCAGCTGGAATCCTGGTCCGGAGGTTGACCTGAATCCTCCGGCGGACGAAGAGGACGTGGAGGCAGCAGCAGAAGGATATCTCGGGGACGACGCAGTACTAGCGGTGTAAGTGGAAGGGCTTGAGGGCGAGTGTAATGTTGGAGCTGAGGAGGAAGGGGACGAGGAGCGGAAGGGCGAAGCACCACGAGACGGAGACTTGTTCCTTCTCGAATCCTACACCTTTTCCGGCGCGGAAACGGTAAGTGCGGCGTGTTCCTTGGTCGTCGAGCAGCGTGTAAGTTCCCTGGACGTTCCCGTCGGCGTCGGCTGACTCTGAGCGAGAGTATTGGTCCGATCGAAGGCGAAGCTGTAGGGGCATCAGCGTTGGTGTCTGCGAGGGTCGACGAAGGGAGTTTGTCGTACTGGAACAATCCTCCCAGTTGGCTGACCGGATGGTGCCCCGGGAACCTCAGGTCCTACGGGAATGTGAGCTCCTTCAGCAATGAATCCCGTATCAGATCCAGCTTCATAGCTGATAGCTCTTGATTGGCCGTCATCTGCTACAAAGGCGAAGTTGCCGTCAACATTGTTATCTGCGTCGCCAGACTCTGCTCGGGAGTGAGTGGGAGTCTGGTAGGAGAAGGAATAGCTGCCATCAGGACGCGTTTGAGTGCGCGTGTTAGCTTCTCCGAATGGACGTCCAGTGGCGATCCTGGAGGGGGAGGAGGCTGAACCCGAGTCGGAATAGCTGTGACTTGAAGGACGAGAGAAGGTGGAGGCGGCAGGGCCAGACTTGAGGGAAGGAGTGTGAGAAGCAAAGGAAGTTGCTGCGGGTCTAGAGGCGGAATGAGGTTGAGGAGCAGTAGGAAGGTGGTCTCCCGAAGCCTGGAATCCTCGGTTGGCACCTGCTTCGTAGTTAACATTTCGTGTGACTCCGTCATCTGCTACGAAGGAAAAGTGTCCTTGGACGTTGAGGTTTCCATCAGCAGATTCGGCTCTGGAGTGATCCCGGCGTCAAAAGAGAAGGAATACGAGCCATCTGGGTTGGCGGCGCTCTGCCGAGAAGAGGCGGCTCCTCCTGCAGAGGGAGAGGCGCCAGCACGAGTGGCTGGAGAAGCAGCAGAGGAGCCAGCGATGTGAGAGGAGGCCCCTGGAGTGGCCGAATATCCAGTTCCCAGGCGAGAGAGAGAGAATGGAGTTCCAGAGGAAAGTCGAGTGGCGGCGGGAGTGGAGTTGGAGTCTTGTGGCGCGGTAGGAAGATCACTGCCTTCCACCACGAAACCGGTGCCTCTGCCAGCAGTGTAGGAGTAAGTGCGAGTGCGACCTTGGTCATCGGTGTAAGAGTAAGAGCCACGCACGTTGCCGTCAGAATCACTGTGCTCGGAGCGAGCGTGAGCTTGTCCTTCAAAGTCGAATCCGTAGGAAGCATCTGCGTTTGGATCGGCTAGAGGGTCGACGAAAGGAGCGCGGCGCGAGCTTGGGCGTGCGCAGACTCGAAATCTGGATGCGTGGCGGGAAGGTGAGCACCCTGAGGGACGAAGCCTCCCTCACCTGCCTCATAGTGAAGGCTAATTGGCTTGCCATCGGGAGCCACATAGCCGAAAGAACCTCGTTGCTGTCCTGGCGTAGATGATCGTGCACTCTCGAAGGCTCCCTCTCCGGTGTCATGACCGTACTTGTAGGTGCCATCACTGTGCAGGACGTAGTACTGGGAACGTCTGCCGGTTCCTACTTGAGGAATCCTGTAGGCACTTTCATCGGGGCGAGGCAAGCTTAGTGTGCTAACCGTAAGGACGGACAACAGCGCCTGAAAAAAGAAAAAAAAAAAAAAAAAACGATTATTTGAACTGAAAGGTTAAAGGGCATGAGATGTAGATCATATGGACAAATCATTTCATATTACATCAAATCTAGTTAACTTTGAAATATGAGCGTGAAAAGAGAGAAAGGCGAAAAGGAGAGCTTATCGAGTTGTTTACCAAGCTCATCCAGGCAGCCATGGTGAATGGCAGGGTGAGGGAAGTGAGCGGG